GACCACATTTTACAAATGTTCTCCCTCAAATCAAAGGGATAACAGAAAAGAAATTGCTTCAATTTTAAATGACTTGACAGAAACAGTGTAACTACATCATGCAGTTTATACAGATTAAAGCGTGGAAAAGATGTCAGAAGAGTCTGTAATCCCCGGATGGGTTGAATGAGCACTCTGGGAATCTGGAATTTTTTCCTGGACTCTGCATTAACCGAGTAAACTCAGAGAATGAAAATAACCAGAGTTGCTTTTAACATTTAAGTCAGCTAATTATAGTTATGAACTAGACCTTGCTTCTGATATCTACACTTTATTTATTTACTTATTTGAATTGATAAGCCACCCAACCCCAATAGACTCTTAATTATATTTCAGATCACTGCACAGCATTTGAGATGGAGCAACCTGTAAAGACAATTTACAAAATCACAACTGGGACTGAAAACTGCTGCCCACAAGCAGTGTGGTATAGCTGGTAAAGTGCTGGACTAACAACAGGGGAACCCAGGTTCTAGTCCATCCTCAGCAATGGAAATTCACGGAGGGCCTTTGGGCCAGTCATTCTCTCTTAGGAGGCAGCACTACATATACCACCTTGAGTATCTTAAACAAAAGAGGGATATAAATCAAATAAATAAATAAATAAGCAAGCAAGGCCAGGCAGTGAAATCATGTCACATATAAACTGTACTAAAGAACCGGTTGTATCTTTCTGAGCTCAATTTAAATAGCTGTGTTTCACCCAAATCTAAACGGATTAGAATTCAAATTAGAACCATCTTCATCCACATCAGCCTGCCTACGTTTAAAAAGATACTTTTAATGTGCTGCTAGTGAGAACTAGCACAGAAGAGAATATCTGTAGCTCAGGGTTAAACTGTGGAGTTCTTGATGCTCTCTGAGCTTGGTTGTTTGCTTGCAGGCATTTCATTACCCAACTAGGTAACATCATCAGTACAACTCAATACACTCACACTAATGATATTACCTAGTTGGGTAGTGAAATGTTTGCAAGTAAACAACCAAGGGGATGCGGTGGCGCAGCGGCTTAATGACGCTGAAAGTTGCTGGCCAGAAATGGTCGACACTTCAGCGGTTCGAGTCCAGCCTTCGCATTAACAGGGTGAGCTCCTGTTACCTCCCCAGTTTCTGCCAACCCAACAGTTTGAAAACTCACGTGAGTAGATAAATGGGGACTCCCACTCTGGTGGGAGGAAAAATGCTGGTGGCGCCTTGCAAAAGGAGTCAGGAGCAGTTGCCGGTAAGCGCAAAAAACCGTGCGCGCCCGAAAAGGGCGCAAAGCAACAGAAACCCCGCATCCTTTGTTCACCAGCGGTGCTCTGCTCTGGGAGGGATGCTCTGCCGCACCACTTTCCTCACACTTTGCT